AGTTGTGGTCTCTGGTTGATTGGAGTCAACAGATTCCTTGAGTCTTCTGTCTGTAGTGTCGTAATAAGGTTCCGTTTCCAGAGTTTCTCTCGTAGTTTCCAGATTTTCATCAAAATGATCAACGCAATCCTAAGATAGATTAATGGATATGTTCTTTTATGCATAGTAGACACTTGCCTCTTGACTCTGAATATCGAGCCCTTCACTTTCACTAGAATTTCCTTCCTGCTTTACTTCAATCTGCTCTTCTATCTGTTTGCTGTTACATTTGAGTTGTCTTTCATGTGCCATTTTCTTTGCTTTCATTCGAAGCTCTTTTCGCATGAACAAATGAGAAAAACTGGGTAAAGTTCGCTTTGGCTGATTCGTAACAATAAGTTCATCTTCAGAAGAATCTGATTCCCTCTCTTGTATCAATAAAGAATGTCTACCTGAAGATAGCTTTAGATAAATCTGAAAGAATGATTGAATTACCTTGCAATAAAAAATCGGACGGTTCCTGTTTCGGGCAGTCAAAGTTTCTCCTATTCGGCAAGTGTTCTATGACAAAATTCTTCGCAATCTCTTGCAATTTTGCAATTGCCTGGTCCTTTGTATATCTTTACAATATAAGTGATGAGAATAATCTCTTTTCTTGGACTTTTGCTTACTTATAAGGCACCTTAAAGTCGTTGCTTGCGGTTTGTCCATTTTCTCTTAAAACTTGTCGACTGGTTCGAATGAGTTCATCTATGTCTTCCTGTAATTCACTGTTGTTTTCGGAGGAAGAAGAGTAGGACATAAAGCCTCTTCGCAGTTCTTCAGAGTCGTCTCGTTCGTCTTGTGGCGGTGAAGTTTCCATTTCAAAGCTTTCCCGCCAATCTCCCTCGAGAAAACATTTGTTGTTTTGTGCTTTGGCTTTAGCCAGTGCAACTGATGAAACCTTCCATAAAGGTGTCGTATATTTGTTTCTGTGAAAGTAATTTTGTGTTTAAACAAGCATATTGATTATTGGATAATATCTTAACCACTTAAAGTTTCTGTCAATGGGATTGGTTGACTTCAAACCTCTCAAGTCCACGTATAGACCACGTATTCTTCAACTTTAGTTCAAAAGTTCTTTCACTTTGCTTAAAGACTCCTTAAAGAATTACTCAACTGCTTTCCTAAAGTATTACTTTACGAGCCTTGTTTTTCCTTTTGGACTTTTGCGGTAAAGAGGCTTTCATTTCTATAGATCGTGTTGTTTTCTACAAATGCCTTGAAAACCTTTGATTATGTATGAAGTGATATAATTCTGGAGTTGTGAGAGAAGTATTCCTTTTTGGACCAATAACTACAACTCTACTCATAAGCCGTTGGTTTTTGTTGAACAAACTGCGCAGCTATTCTCGAATATAATCTCCAACAGCACTTAATAGTTGTGCTCTTCTGTCTTCCTTTCAACAGACCTTGGAAAGAGATTCAAAAGTCTAATAATATTGTCAGAATAACAAACTTGAATAGTCGATAGCCACTCAACCAGTGCTTCTGGTTGTTGAAAGAGGATTTGTTGCTATGTTTGGCAACAAATAGAAGTTTCAAGAACACTATGTAAATATGGTAAGTAGTTTCTGAATTTTGAAAATTTCACGGGTTGAACTTGTTTATCTTTTCAATGGAAACAAGGAATTGCTGAAAGTTTGAATATAGTTTGCTTCTGTAACTCTAGTTTGTATATTGCACAGCTTACAATCGTTATTTAGTAAATATTTCGTCACAATATACCAGTCAGAAAACTCAAGTTCTTCCTCTATTTGAAGCTATCCAACTTTGGCGTCGAAGGTTTTCTATATATCAAATCTTCGAAAGTTAGTATAGTGAACGATATTCATTCACACTCTCATGGTATAATAAACAATTGTCACAGGAGTATCTACAATTTGGCTCAGATATTTGGAATCGGAATAAACTTCGATCTCTGTTGCAGTCTGGGTTGAAAAGCGAATAGTGCTTGCCACAACTTCCATAAGTTCTTTAAACTATTACTGATAATAGTCTAAAAGCTCTATATACAGTAAAAATTACGAAATAGTTTCCGTTTCATTTATCAAAGCGCCAACTAATTTACGCAGCAATTTATCGGCTGCTACAATACCTATGCAGGAATCTTTTAACAGCAAGTATGTAGCCTTGAAACAGAGTCAACAGAGGAACAACTCGATGACGAGACTGTCTTTTAGATTCAGAATTCAACAGTTGGAGTAAAATTCTCTTAGTGCTATGTATCCTTTTTTTTTCTTTTCTAACTTTGATGTTGTTACGATCCTAATTTTTGTAGCACTGTAAGTCGTGACCTTGAGTATCGTCAAACATTACAGAATGAAATCCTCATGTTTATATATGTATATATCAAGGCATCTATAGGGATTTTGTCGATAATCTACAACTAGTATTTTACAGTCTATCAAGTATACTTGTACTAAAAGGAAAAACAAACTACTTTCGTTACAATATAACAAACTGGTAAATTGTAAAATCCATTCGATAATCTTTCTTATTCGGGAAAAAAGTAATACCTTCTCTGGAGACAAGAAGTGGAACAAAAATGCGCATCTCTAGCAACAAAATTCCAGGTTTGAAGATAGTCAAAGTCGAGCCTAACTCTTCACTTTCATTGGAAAAGTAGATAAACTTTAAAGTTACACGGCTAGTAACAATAGATTATGTAATTTGCTCAAGTTTGATATAGTTTTTGACAGTGTCTTATAAAACAGCCCCTGATTTATAACAACTTTTGAAAATTATTTGTTTTAGAAAATTTCTCAGATATTAAAACAAGATATTCCTAAATATTTTTGGAAAGAGACAAAACTATTTCTTGTAGGGTTGAAATGCCAATATTTCTCGAATGTGGATTATCCACAGACTTGAAAGCGTTCCTTAAATTCGATAAAATGTCTTTGCCAATAAAGTTTTCTACATCGGCTTCAGAAAGAATAACCAATTCACAGTTGTGAGGAATCACGAAATCTTCAACACTATCGCCAGATGAATAACAACGACTAGAATAATTCAAGTCCTCAGATACGTTGGTTGCTAACTGAGTACTCATAATAATCAACATACAATGCCATGTAGGATGACTAGTCAATACTTGATCATGCACTGGTTTTAAAAACTTTTGAGCTTCTTCCAAAATTTCATTCCATCGAATACCATTACGACTCCATCGGCCTTTACAAGCAATACCCACAATCATCAAGTTCTTCTCATTCGTTCTTCCATGCAACTTGAATAATATCTCTGGACTATGGAATGTTGAATGAAATGGAATATATATCTTTTCAAATTCTAATATTTCTTCCACTATCCTTTCCCATTCATCATTGCTTCCAAATGTCATTCTCTCTGCTCCTGATA